CCGGGCGATGGAGGGGAGCCGGGCACACCGCCGACGATCTACCTCCGAACCGTTTACCTGAGAGCAGCCGTTTCTGCGCCGAGGCCAGTTGAGGCTACCCTTGCCTTTCGGAGGAGAATGTGGCCAGGCTGGAGGCATGGCTACCTCACGGCGCCTTTCGTCTACTGCATTCAACACCAGCAGGTCCCACGCCAGCCGCGACTGGTCTCACTGCATCGATCCACCTGACGCCCGGCACGACCTCCCCACGCGCCGGTAGAATACACCCGCTCCGCCCCGAAACATCAGCGCGGAGGTGAAGGCCCAGCTGGAGGAGGATGCCGAGAGGCGTCATCCAGCCAGTGCCTGCTGGTGAGGCTACGGAATGGTGCGCGCCAGGATGGTCGGTGGCCAAGAAAAACGGTCATTCCAGGCAACAGACTCCCAACGCCAATGCAGTTGTTGAGGGAGACGCACCACACACCGCTGCACCTATTCGACATGGTGTCTGGGGTGCCAGTGCACTCGCTCTCAAACCGTCGCCACGCCTATTGGAGATTTCATCAAGTGAGTTGGAGGAGGACAGTAGATGCCTGACCACATTCATCGCCGGGGACGTTTTCGATACTGCAGGACGCCTGATGGGACGCTGTTTCAGCATCAGATGCTTACACCAAGAGGCGGACGACGTTATTCGAGATGTGCCCCTGCAAGCATAAGCGCGCGCGGATGACATCGACTCCAGTGTGAAGGGGCGTTCTGGCAATAATTTACGATTTTTTCAGAGACTCCTGCGCTCGCACAGGTATCACGCCAGAAACCAGAAAAAAGTTCGGTTCTGCGGGGTGAAACAGCCTGTGTTTCTCCTGGGTGGGATTCCGTACTCAGCCCACTGCCCAACGTCTGTCAGCCATCACCGGCGACTTCGCAGGATCAAGCTATCAATCACTGACATCAGGTCCTGGCATGGCCTGGTTAATCGCTGGCTCCCTTTGCCATCATTGCACCTGTGATGGCCCCTCCCGGTGAGCTTCCTCAAGAAGCCAGTGGGCAAGCAGGTGTATTGGGACGACCAGCTGCGTGCTCAAGTTTTCCTGCCAGGCCCACCCGGTCAGTTGCCAGAGACGGTTTGGTGTACTACTTATTGAACCAGGGCTTCCACGGCATGCCGCTGATTGGAGCAGGGAGTGGCATCGGCTTGCCGTCCCGTATCAATACTCAGGCCTGTGCTTCTCCAGAGACGCCCTTCTGCTGCAGTAGAGAGGTGGCGTTGGCTCTGCGTGGTAGTACGATCTGACACGGCCGAGGCCGGTTAGAAGGCAGAAGGGAGGCCCTTGCCAGGTGCGCTCTGCGCAAGGCCAGGTTGTTCCTCTTCCTTGGCTGCCTGAACTTATATCATTCCCAGGACGGTGACCACCGCCCTTAGTTGGTTTAAGAAGACAGAGCTTCACGGATGTGGCGCGAATCCACGCCTGTTCAGGCTCGAGGAGAAGACCTGCCCATTCACGGTCAAATACGCCAGGAAGCGCGGAACTGTGCAGCTGACGCCCCTATCCCGCTTTCTCTCCCTCAGGGCGGCGCTCTGATGCGGAGGACATGGACCAGACCTGTGCGCTGCAGTGTGGTGCAGTCACAATCGCAGCACTGATTCAGGATGGCATCACTGGCGGACGAAGACACAGTATGCAAGCGGGCGGCGGACGACCCAGTGTGTACCAGATTCAGGCGTGTCGATATAAGGGCGTACTAAGTCTACAGGAGGTACCACATACCAGACGGTGAGGGACAGGTTATTGTGGTCAGGGTTTGGTCACCCACACCTTTAATTCAGGGCTGCGCATGCTATCATCCCTTAGGGACTCCCTCCGCCACCGGGTCGCCATGTTACCTGCATGGGGGCACCAGGGCCTGACTCAATGCCTGTGGCGGGCCCGCAGTCTGTCTATTGGCCTGGCATGGGAGGGTGACCTGCGGTATCATCGGTCCCGGTAAAGGCGGCGCAGACCCACGCTCTTCCCAGCCTCCTGGAGTCGTTGGTTCTGGACCTCAGCTACAGACTATCCCTTTTCAACAACAAGTGGTGGCCGATTTGTTCCACCTGCAGGGCCGCACGCATCAGCAGCATATGCGCGCTGGGACCGACTGACAGGCTGGCTGGAGATCGCCCACTCTCCCCAACGAGGCCACCTCTGGAAAAATCACGCCAGTCTGCGGGCCTACTACTCAGGGGGTGGGGGCACCTGGGCAGATTCTGGCAGATGGAGGTACTCAACCCACAGCCTTGAGATGACAGATTTCTCGTTGCTGGGGGTCGAGGTGCGCCTCCGTTTTTCCAGACGCACTTCCCCAGTCCAATGGCAGCAGGGCTGAGGTTGGGGTCGAGGCTGCCAAGAGGGCCTCAGGATGCCAACAACACTGGCCCGGGGGGTAGCCTGGACCGCGATAGACATCCCAGGCCCTCCTCCAGTACCCGAACACGCCTCTGCAGGGGGTGAACAAGCGTCGCCCGCCTGGTCTCTGCCAACACCGCCGCTGCCTGCGTGACGGCGTTCCCGTGCCAGACAGCACTATACGTGGACCAGCACTGGCGGCGGCACTTCGTGATGAGGGAGGTGTTTGGCTGAAAACATTGGTGATGGGTCCTGTCGCGGAGGGAGGATCCCTGCCAGCTGGCTCCCCCAGCCGGGCATCGCAGGTGTGCAGGACGCAGCGCTACTTTCGCCTGGGACAGGACAGGCATAGTGGTGGAAGCTCGCCCTCACAGGCAGTATGGCTCAGGTTGCGGTGTCGTGTCCATCCGGCAACAGACGCCACTGCGAAACGGCTCCACACCTGTGCCTACTACTCCGGTGGTGCACCGTTGTGCCTCCTGGCCTCTTCTGCTGTGTTCTCCATACCTGCGCCTCCTCCGCACCCACGGCCCCTCCCCAGTCGAAGGGTTAGGCCCAGGAGAGGCCGAGGCCTCCGGGCTGCTATGCTAATGATTGTGTAGTGTATGTGATGTAAAATCAGTTTAGAGGTTTTTTTTGTTTTTTTTTTTTTTCCCTTTGTTTGACCTGTTTTTTCCCGCATTATTGTTGTTTTTAAGTGAATGCATTGTTTTCCTTGTTAGTCTAAATGCATTGTCATTTCCTTTTAACTTGGGGGGGAGATGTAAGATTGTACCATCGTAACAGATATGTTTTCCCATGTTGAGATGGGGGCTTGTCTTTGGCAGCGCCCGGTTGCCAGTCTCCAGCTGACGCTGTTAGAATAAAGTCTATAAAAAACGTGGTCTATGACTCCAACCTCTCACAGTAACAGTTAAACAAAAAGCAAAAACGACATATAGGATAGGGGAAAAAAGTAAAAAAGTGTAAAAAATTAGGACCATCTTTATTTCTGAAATGAAAACTACAACTTTTACACAAAGTAACTTTTCTTGTTTTTTTGTTGGCAAATTCTTCAGTGACATTGTCAAAAACTATTTCATCTGTCAATTGTCGCTCTATAGACAGTGTACATGACAAGATTTCCTAAACCGCAAGGTGCTCAGTAGATCTGGTTACAATTCTTGGATCAGTGGTAATGTATGCAGTGTTTAGGCGATCCTCAGGGTAGCTGGGTGCCAGAAGGAGTTTGGTGGCACTCCTGTTTTTCAGCTGACAGTCCTAGCATATCTCGGGGACCAGATGGGGTGACAGTACTCCAGATGGGAAGCCTTCCTCCTGAAGATCGTCACGGGACGGTCTGTCTGAATGATTCTGAGCCTAATAATTTATTTGCTGGTTTTTTTTTGGGTGGTTTGTCAACATACACCTGGTCCTTCTCACACAGTCTCAACTAGTGCATTTCTTCATCCCGTTGGGAGGTATGATGCCTTTCTTACCGTTGGTACGCCCCAGGTGCATCCTCTTACACTTCGTGACATTGGATCTCAGCAGCCATTTCTTCGTGTTCTGGAGCTAAGAGGTCCTTCTGCGGCTCTTCACAGTCCGGTTTGTTCTTTTTCGAATCGCTTTTGTCTGCAATTTGGATGATGTAAACGTCAGGCATGTCATTTATAAACAAACTCTTAGCGGGCCCATACCTTTTCTGTGGTCCGCTTGTTACGGGTATTGTTTCCGTGCCATTAATCACCACACACTGCTAGCGGTCATGTAGAAAGTCTTCTATCCATGCAAGGACATTTCCCCGAATTCAGTACCCTTCCAGTTTGATTTTCAGCCTTTCATGGGGTACACTGTCGAAAGCCTTGGCAAAATCTAGGTCAATATTGTCGATATTACCACCCCGTTCCAGAATATGGGTCCAAATATCCAATACCTTGAGCAATTGTGTTAAGCAGGAGCGCCCCGGCATAAAACCGTGTTGGCAATCCTTTACAAGATTGTTTTGTATTAGATGTTCCATTGTGACATCTCTGATAATACTCTCAAGTACCTTACATATTATGCTGGTCAGGCTCACTGGTCTATAGTTGTTCGTGGAGTGCCGATCGCCCTTCTTGAAGATAGGACTCACATAAGCCACTTTCCATTCACTGGGGACCATTTGTTCATCCAGGCATTTACAAAACAGGATCTTCAGGGGCTCTGCAAGCTCGTTGCACAACTCTCTTAGCACTCTAGGATGCACCATGTCAGGATCGGGACTCTTATGGACCTTTAGTATGTATTAGCAAATTAAAATATATCAGTGTAAGGTAAACAGTTTCTTCAATATGGAATCTTGATTACTTTGTGGGCAAACCCAATCGTGAAGTGGGAGGTGGGTGGGGGCGCCGACTGCAGTCCTGCTAAGGGCGCCAAATAGGCTAACGCCGGCCTTGCCTAGAAAGATTAGAACACCTCCAATTGCTTAGTTTATATTATTAATGAACAAGGGATGATTTAACAGACGTTTATAAGCATCCCACTAGAGGTCAGAACCTTAATTTAAAGAAGTTATCAGTATATAAAAACTGCCAGAGAATGTTATGCCAGCACCAAGCGTGAAATCCTTGAAGGACAGCTGGAAGCTGGATCAACACTGGTGACTGACTGGTAAACGTTGAAACACATTCAAGAGCCCGAGAAATTAAGTAATAAGAGAAATAATCCGTTGAGAACAAAGTAATAATATACTTATTACTTATAATACATTAAGAGAACAAATGTGCCCCCTTTTCTGCCACTTTACATTTATATATCGTGTGGGGAGATAGTGTATGATGTGGCCTTAAGGGTGACGGTGGTGTAAGCGACCACGCCGCCACAGGTCAACAAGATGATGGCTATTCCCTCAGCCGAGAAGCGCCCGCTCAAAAGACAAAAATTAGGGCCACCTGATGTATATCCACAAGATGCTAAGCAAAAAGAGGTATAGTTCTCTCATGTGATATTATTAAACTTGAAAATTCCGCCGTAGTGTAGGGGGGGGAGCCATTTCAGAATCTGTCTTTTTCCAAGTGGAAGAACTGAAGTTTTAATTTATTTTAAGGCAGTAGCTTTTAATACTAATAGGGTCCTATTATTCTGTAGTGATTATGCACGGAACGCTGTATTGATTTGTATACAGGCAGTTAGAGCAAAAAAAAAAGTCCTTTATAGTATTTTTGTCAGAAATTAATATATTGTATATTTTTTTTTTTACTTTTAGATTTCACGTAAAATTCGCAATTTTGATCACAGATGAGCAGGACTTTGAGGTAGAGGGAAATTGTGGCGTGAAAACACGTTAAAACCTGATGAAACCAAACCCATTGCAACCTAACCTAACTTATTACAAAAAAAAAAGTTTAGTATTTAAAAACTGATACCCAGGTTATGGAGGGCAGTTAGGAAACTTTGTAATTATTGACGGTAAATTTGCATTGTCACACCGTTCTGTTAGAAAGTCAAAAATATATTTTTCTAGTGTATTTGTGTGTGTTTAGACCGAGTATGACCTTCATTTCTGGTGGAAAATAGCCGGGGTTTTTTTCGAATTTTTTTCGTTGGACGTTTTCTGAAAAAAATCATGGCAAAATACACCAAAACACACTAGAAAAACAAAAACCAAACCTAACCTAACTGACTCTCACCATATGATGGAATCACCTATTTCTTACCTTATTGGCCTGGTTCTTGTTCGTCGTTGCATTCTGGGATTCTTACCCAACGCCACATATGTTGGTCTTTGCGATATTTACATTGTCTTGCTCTTAGTACACTTTACTGAGGTTGGAAGAACACCATGTGATCGAAAAAATGCTAGAGTTTCTAAGTTTTTTTTCCAAAAACTCGCAATCAGCTCCATATACTTTAAGTGACACCCATCGCAGACTTCCATGGTCGGAACTGAACTTGAATTTCAAAATATGAGAGACCCAAAATAAAACTAGAATTTGATTGGGCCAAATATACTGCGAATTAAACCCATAATCATTTTAATTGGTTCCAAAAGCAAAAACGCTTTTGATTGGCTGCGTGACGTGTACAGGAACGCTTGCGCGTGATGATTTATGAAGGAGACACTCGGTGTTGGAGGTTCGACACCACAACCGCATCCAGCCCATACGTGCACGAACTGATCGCTATAAGAACAGCCCAGTCCCAACCATTGTAAAAATTATCAATAACTTGTAATAAACCAGTGTATTCACTCCCAGTAAATACTACTTGCACTGTCACTATGTTGAAATGCCCTGTAGTTTGAGCTTTTCCCCATCTAGTTATTATATATCTTATTTGTATCACTTATGTTACTTGTATATTATTTATAATTCGAAACCCATTCCCCAAATATGTAACTGTATATTTTCAGCCTTCTGGCTGCCAAGCTCTTTCAATAAACCGTTAATTATTATTATTATTATTATTATTAGTGAGGCAGGCGATAATGGAGGAAGATTAATGGAAGAAAATAGAGAAAATTTGGGATATGCTATCTCCGTTATTATACATTTCCGCTGGTAATGCAATAGATGAAAATTATCTTATAATTAGACGTCTTTTTCGAATATGATAATAAATTAGTGGTAGGAATGAACGGTGTGTAAACGCAATAATACCTTATTGACAACTGACACGTCGGCTATTTTGCGTTGTAAACAGTTATAAAAACGCCGCAATTTTACTATTTTATAAAAGACACTGTCGTAGTTTGTGCATTTTTTATAACCCAACTTAATCTAACCTAACCTAAAATGCTTCAATTTCACCGTGTTTTATAGAGGACACTATTGTAGTTTGTACAATTTTTCTAATAACCTAACCTAACCTTAACATGAAACCTAGCATAATTTAACACCTGCTGCATTACTGCCAAGAAGACAAAATAATGTGCACCTTAGGCGCCTAAATATCTACCAATCGAAGCATTTCCACAAGAAATGATTACTCACTGATGAAAGTATTAAGAAAATATACACCAAAACAAATAACTCATCAGCGGGTCAGTCGTCGATATTAACCAGAAACTTTTTAGTAGAAAAAAAGTTCATTGGTTTATCAAGAACATCCAAAAAATGGTGGAGGAAATAAATTTTGCCAAACAAAAAAGATAAAGAACTTAACCTAACAACTTAAATATCATTATACAGGTGCTTCCCTACTTATGACGGGGTTAGGGACCCAAATCCAGGTCGTAAATCAGAATGGTCGTAAGTCCGAAAAAAAAAAAAACATAAAATCTACAGTGAAATACAGTACAGTAAAAGTAATAAATAATGAGGAATGGATACAGTGTGACTGAGCACTTACCTTTAATGTAGTCAGCTGAATGCACACGGGGCCCCCATAATTTTCTATTTACAGGTATACATGGAGACTATATAAATTGGATGAAGCAGAGAAAGAGACAGGGCTGGGTGGGTCATCAATGTCGCTTTCTTCAGACAGGTTTATGTACTGTGGAAACTTGCTGGTTGAAGGTATTGGATCATCTTGCGGGAGTGAAGAGGCAGCACTGGTGGGGGCGTGAGGAGACAGCAATGGGGGACTTTTTAAAATAGATGTCCAATTTAGACTGCAATTATAAATTTCTCTGTAGCAAGCAAGTGCATCTTGGATCATTCTGTCAACTTTGGCAAAACGCTCATAATTTTGATCCATGCCATCAAACATTTGCATTCCTTTATTAATTGTAGCAAATGTCCCTGCCATTTGCTTCACTGAAAACTTTTTGGGGGGTGTAGGTCCTTCTTCTACATTTAGACTGGGTTTTTCCTCTGCATCTTTGTGTGCTTCCAGTTCAATGAGATCTTTGTTACTAAGCTCTTCTGCTACACTTTCAACCAACTGTTCAACATCTTCATTATCAATTTCTAACTGAAGCTGTTTACCTAACTCCACTATCTTTTTACTAATATCCGAAATAACTTCATTTTCATTAAATCCTCTAAAACTGTTTACATATCTTTTCAGGACTTTCTTCCATATTCCATTCCTGCAATGTTTTGTAACGTGAGCCCATGCTGCACTAATGTTCTTTATACATGACAAAACGTTGTACTCTTTCCAAAACTCTCTGAGCGTTTTCTCACCTTCTGTAGCAGCAACAGCCTGAGCGAAGGTTGTACGTAAATAATACGCTTTAAAGGCAGCAATAGCACCTTGATCCATGGGTTGGATGACAGAGGTAGTGTTAGGTGGAATGTACACTACCTTAACATCAGGGTGCATGTCGTCCAGGTGTGGTGGGTGTCCCTGAGCATTATCCAAAAATCAGCAAAATCTTGAATGGAATCCGTTGTTGCAGACAATACTCCTTGGCTCGTGGAATGAAACAAGTCATGAACCAATCCTCAAACAGTACAATGGTCATCCAGGCTTTCTTGTTACTGCGATAAAACACGGGCAGTGTGTGCTTGCTGACATGTTTAAAAGCCCTGGGGTTCTCTGAATGTTAGATCATGAAGGGCTTTAGCTTGAAACCAGCAACATTTCCCCCAACAGAAGTGTAATTCTGTCCTTGAGTGCCTTGAATCCCGGCATTGTTTTCGCCTCTTTGTGGATGTATGTCCGCTCAGGCATGCGCTTCCACAATAATCCAGTCTCATCCACATTGAATATTTGCTCAGACAAATAATTCCCTTCCACAAGCACATCATCTAACTCCTCCTTAAAAGCTTCGGCAGCACCAACATCAGCACTAGTTGCCTCTCCACTAACCTAAACATTGTGTAAACTGTAGCATTTTTTAAATCTATTAAACCACCCATGACTTGCTGTAAAGGTTTGCTCACATTCATCTCCTGCCTGCTCCTTCAGGCTTTGGAACAGGCTTCTTGCTTTAGCCTGTAAGGTTAGAAGGCTTAGGGTACACGCTTCTGTATTTGGTCTTCTATCCATATCACCAATAATTTTTCCATTTCGTGAATAGGACCTTGTCCTTTCTTCGAAATTATAGTTCCCTTTATAGGTGTTGTTCCTTTCACTACATCACGAATACGTTCCTTGTCCTTCAGAATAGTGGATATGGTCGAGTGCGAGTAACCTAGGTCGCGTGAGATTGTTGCTACAGTTTTCCCATTCTCATATTGCATTATTATCTTCATTTTCATCTCAAAAGTAATTGCTTGTCTCCTTTTCCTCGGAGCACCACCAGCACTCTCACTTGTACGCTTTCCAGTCATTGTAAAGTCAATTAAATACGATAATAACGTAAGTACACAGCGGAATCAGTAGAGCCAAACACCAACTAAGCGCTGCACTGAGTGAGTGTAACCACACGGTGACCCAAGCCAGCCACCCTCTCACTCGGGACGGAAACGTTTCGGTATAGAAAATGCGCGCATCGTTTGAAAAAATTTTTGGTCACGACTGCGGCGGTCGTATGTGCAGATGGTCGTAAGGTCAGAGCAGGTCGTAAGTGCGAATTGACATAAGTTGAGTCAGTCGTAAGTCAGGGACTACCTATGTCTAGCCTAATTTAGCCAGAGGAACCAGAAGGACCTCACCTAACATCCAAATGAAAGTGGTTATGTCTGGGTTTAATAGAGTACTTTAGCAATTATCCGCCAAGCACACACTCCCTGTAATGTTCATCTTAAACGACACCTTTACATGTGATTCTACTCTTTATAAAATGGTCATTCTTATCTGTTGCTTTATATATTTGTTGTCATATATCTTGATATACATAATAATTAGTGAAAAGAGGAGGCTTAACACTGGGTGTTCTCCAAAACCATGAATTTGTTTGTGACTTCGAATGTAAATGTTCTTTATTTCAAACTTTTTTCCACTCATGTCTTGAAAGTTAATGTTTTCAAGTAATTCTTTTAACTCTCTTTGAGACTTTTGGGCAAAGATTCACTAGACTACAATCATTGAATTATATAGTGATTTTTATACTGTATAGGGAGATAGAAAATAAAGGCATACATATCATATTTTTGTTGCAATTTTTTATATTTAGAGTTATTTTGACTTTGTTTTTACTTATGAAAATACAATTTTGGTCTCACAAAGTGGGCAGGGCTTTGAAGTAGAGGGAAATTTTGTGGTAAAAACTTGCAGAAAACTGACAAAACCCAACCTAATAAAACCTGGCTTAACCTAACCTAACTTTGCCTTTGTCTTGGCGATTTTGCTTCATTTTGTGAAGAAACTAAATGTGTTTATCTTCACAATAATGGCAGTTTGCACCTTATGAGCACCACCAAGTGCCCACCCGGTGCAATAAAGTACCAAGATCGTGTAGTTCAACAATTATCGGTCAGTATCGGTGTTGTAACTTATCGGTGTTTTTTTTTACTTTACAGTGAGAGGACATCACCAATGTTCACATTGTACTCTGTTTTGGTGACTGTGAAGTAATTTTTGCTAATTTTTTTGTGACTGTAAAGTGCTTTGGCCACACAAAGACCATCGTTCATGCTGATTGTTTATGTCATCATCATTAAAGAGGAATATCGTAGATAGGGAGATGGTAGATTGGAGGATATCTGTACCTGGTATTTCAAGCCCCCTTTTCCCCTCTAGTTTGAACTAAGGAGCTTTTGCTGTATATTTTATGATTCATTGTGTGTTTCAGGATGAATTGGATGATGTTAGTGTTAAACAAGGTTTCATACATCGGCCACAAATCCAAGATGAGTACGGCAGTGCACAGAACACTTCCATCACCCCTGCTAAGGTTTGTTTCTTTATTATTGTTTCTACGTTACAGTACAGTATGTATAGTTATACAATTAAGTTTAAGAATCATTCATAAAATATAAAAGAATAAGATAATGAATCTTATTTTATGAGGTGCCTTTTATGGAGGTATGTAGAGCCAAAAAGTATCGAGACCCCAGGGTCCGGTGGAATAGAAAACTATTGATAAACTCAGGCGCGTTGATATACAGTATTGATTGGGTTTACGTTTTATGCCTTTGCTTGATGTTTTCATATTCTTTTGTATGCCTTTTTCTTCTATTCTTTTTGAATTGGCTGTATATGTGCATTACCAATATGTCATTATGTATTTCTTGATGGTGATCTTGCCTTACCAACATGCCACACATGTAGCTACTCTCTATACTAGGCAACCAAAATTTTTTTGCAAATGAACTAATGTGCTGTACAAGGGGTCCTCATTATACTTGAGGGTTACATTGCAAAAAGTTTGCATAAACCAAAATCACATTAAATGAACAACTCTTTTAATATAATAAATAGGGGATGCCTTTCACAACATATACCATACTGCCCAGATCCATTTATACCCACTATTTCCTGGGATTCATACAGTTATCACTTAATTAAAAAGAAGTACTGTTTTACTGTAAAAAACAACTTTACAAATGAAAACTTAAGTGGAAATTGAATCTCATAAGCATGACTGCCTGTTAGGTACAGTGTGGATACAGTAACTGTATACTATACCCTTTCCATGCTAACCTGGCCTGTAGGCCACACCCCTGTTCTAAAAAATTGCTGATTGATTCATAGAAATGTTTGCGCTGCTGTCCATTTATTCAAAGTAAATATGTTCACAATTGGTAAGCTGAACTGTTATTCTCTAAAATACAGTGATGTTAAATAACGGGATTATCAAATGATTTCAAGGCATTAGCACTTTAGAGAGGATGTTAGAAATTTTTAAATATTTATCACAAAAGGTCGAAGTCAAAGAAGTCTTTTCATATTTCTTTGTTTGCTACAACACAGTATTTATGATAGGGAATGCCAAGTTAGTGGATAAAGTATTTAATAATTTGCTCGTGGGTGTGAGAAATATTTTTGTTGGTTAAGTATCACAGTGCTGACATCTGTTGATAGTTAAGAGTTGACGTCTGCTGGCTATTGTGCCGTGTGTCAAGATGAGCTAGATTCCCGCAAAGTTCAGTGGCTGTTTCCTTGGGCGTTTTACCTCCTCTCGGACTGCGATGTTTATACAGAGATTTATCAGTTATATAAATTATTTTGGATATATCCAGCCATACAAACTATTGTTCATTACCTATTGTGCTTTATTTTTTGTTTCAATTGTTTCTGTTTGCTTTAAGTCTGATACAAAACAAAGAAATATGAAAAGACTTCTTTGACTTCGACCTTTTGTGATAAATATTTAAAATTTTCTAACATCCTCTCTGAAGTGCTAATGCCTTGAAATCATTTGATAATCCTGTTATTTAACATCACTGTATTTTAGAGAATAACAGTTCAGCTTACCAATTGTGGAAATATTTAGTTTGAATAAATGGACAGCAACGCAAACATTTCTATGAATCAATCAGCAATTTGTAGCTATAGACGAGGAGTGTGGCTTGCGGGCCAGGTTAGCATGAAAATATTATAAGTGTAGGTGACGTTCTATTTTGTTTCAGGTGGCAAATTACTTCAATGCCATCCTTAAGAAGAAAGCGGAGTCAAACCAGCTGCCAGACACAGCCAGGAAGAAACAACAAATAAACAGTAAAGATAACTTTTGGTTGGTGACACCAAGATCCAAAACAGCTATAGAGGCTTGGTTCAAAGACTTAGCTGGATCAAAGGCTTTAACTTCACTTGCCAAAAAAGTAAATTAAAGGTTTGAATTTGAGTATTGTATTCTATAAGAGTAATATATATATATATATATATATATATATATATATATATATATATATATATATATATATATATATATATATATATATATATATATATATATATATATATATATATATATATATATATATACACACACACACATATATACACACAGTCATGCGCCGGTTAACATCCTAGATATGTTCTTGGAAATGTGACGTTAACCGAAATGGACGTTGTCCGATCATCACATAAACTTTGTATTTATACTCACGTGTATGTGGAATACTATATACGTACAGTTACACTCGTGCAAAATATATGACGTTTATATTCAAATTAGTCGCTGTCTTACAAGGATTCCAGCAATGCTGGGCAGATGGGGGAGAGGGAGGGAGGGAGCGAGCATGGGGGGGGAGGGGAGCGGGAGGTGAGGTAGTACGTTTGACAGTTGGCGCCCAAGGTGTGTATTTATCAATCCTTAAGTGACTAAACTTGTCTCTAATAAAAAGCCAGGGAAATGACCTGGGGGAATATAATTTATATTGCTGGGATTCTTGTAAGATAGTGATTAATTTGAATATAAACAAGCTACAATTTGCACTAGACGTAACAATTTTAGTACCGTAATCAATTTAGTACATGTACACTCCAGCTTTGCACTAAGGTCATTTATTTTTTTTACGTTTCTTTTAGTATGGTGTGTTCATGTAAATGGATGAAAATAAATGAAGAAATTTATGTAAATCTACCCAAAAATACAGTTGAAAAACTTTATATTATAAAATGTACTACAGTGCTGTACACTAATGTACTACAATTTTTATCTCTTGAGCATAATATATGACGTTTATATTCAAATTATTGGCTGTCTTGCAAGGATTCCAGCAATGCAAATTATATGCTCCTAACTTTAGTCTGAGATATTATATAAGATAAAAACTGTAAGCCTAAAACCCTGCCTGGGAGGGAGGAAGGGAGCCAGCCAGCCAGCGAGAGAGGGAGGGAGTGAGCGAGCGTGGGGGGGGGGAGGAGAGGGGTTGAGGTGATATGTTTGACAGTTTGAGCCGAAGGTCTCTGTGCGTTTATTTAACAGTCCTACTAAGCTTCTCTCATTTTAAAATGCCAGTGAAATGACCTGGGAGAATATAATTAACATTGCTGGAATTCTCACAAGACAGTGACCAATTTGAATATAAACAAGCTATAATTTCCATTAGACATACAAATTTTAGATCCAATTTAAGAATTTTATTACAGAGAGCAAAATTTTTATCTCCTGTGCAAAATATATGATGTTTATATTCAAATTAATCACTGTCTTGCAAGGATTCCAGCAATGAAAATTATATTCGCCTAAATTTAGTCTGAGATACTGCATTATATAAGACAAAAACCATGGCTGGGCAGATGGGGGAGAGAGAGGGAGGGAGCGTGCATGGGGGGGGGGGAGGGGGAGCGGGAAGTGAGGTGTACTTTGACAGTTAGCACGAAGGTCTGGTGAAGTATTTATTTGTTTATTTATGTTGTTTAAATTACTTTTTGTTTTTTTCATAAAATTTCATAGAAGTGACCGGGGAGAATATAATTTACATTGCTGGAATTCTTAAAAGATAGCGATTAATTTGAATATAAACAAGCTATAATTTGCATTAAACATACAAATTTTAGATCTAATTGAAGAATTTTATTAGAGAGAGCAAAAATATTATCTTTGATGCAAAATATATGACGTTTATATTCAAATTATTCGCTGTCTTGCAAGGATTCCAGTAATGCAAATTATAATCTCCCAACTTTATTCTGTGATTTTATACAAGATACAAACTTAAAGCCTATTGTATAACCAGAAACCTTCGCTGGGAGGAGGGGGGGGTTGAGTTTTTGTTTTTTGCTTATAAAATTTAATAGAAGTGACCGGGGTGAGGGAGGTGTCGGTGGTGGTGTGAAGTAGATGGTGGTGCTGTGAGGGAAGTGTTGGTGGTTGTGTGAGGGTTTTTTTTTTTTCATGGGCCACGGACGTATATGTGATCCGCGTTGTTGGGCGTTAACAGCATGATTGTGTATATATATATATATATATATATATATATATATATATATATATATATATATATATATATATATATATATATATATATATATATATATATATATATATATATATATATATATATACATATATATATATACATATACATATACACACAGTTGTCCCTCGGTTAACGAAATTTCGGTTAACGAATTACGTTCCATAAGAATATTCAATTCAGTTTACAAAAAAAATTCAGTGAACGAATTCCTTACGAATTCCTCTCAACATGTTTTCGCTTGCTCACCAGCTGGAATATTAGTCCGCCAATACAGTATAGTTTGGATTTACGCGGTTTTTGTTTACGCATTTGGTCACCTTGCCAGAATGAAATGTTTTAATTACGTAGTAAATTTCGTCATTTATGTGGGTGAAGTATAATTTGTTTATTTACTGAAGATATATATGTTTTTAGCTCATAAAATATATAATTTACATTGCTGGAAGCCTTACAAGATGGTGATCATTTTAAATATAAACATCTTAACATTTGCATTTACGTATGGTAAATTTCGTCATTTATGTGGGTGAAGTATAATTTGTTTATTTACTGAAGATATATATGTTTTTAGCTCATAAAATATATAATTTACATTGCTGGAAGCCTTACAAGATGGTGATCATTTTAAATATAAACATCTTAACATTTGCATTAGACATACAAATTTAAGATGTAATTTAAGAAGATGATGAAAATGAGCAAAAATTTTATGTCTTGTGCAAAATATATGACGTTTACATTCAAAATATTCCCTGTCCTGCAAGGAATCCAGCAATGTTAATTATATTATCCTAACTTTAGTCTGAGGTATTATTTATTACTATACCTTAAAATCTAGCATTTTCACCCAAACATTTCTCAGAGAGGGAGGAGCCAGCGGGCGTGGGAAGAGGGGGGGATGGGAGTTGAGTCCATTATTTGAATTGACATGAACCGGGCGACTGTATTTCTCTTAAATATTAATTGTGTGCATACCATCATAAAATTAAGATGTTATTTTTACTACAACATAGGTATTGTGTCGGAAAAAGTGGAGTTTGGGGGTCGGCCCAGTCTCTATTTCAATTAATCCCAGATGTTCTGTTATTTCATTTATGCGTTTCTTGTTTTACGCGGACCTCCACGGGTTCAATTGACCACTTAAATGCAGACTATACTGTACAGTAATCGGTTCTAGGGCTTAAATTCGTTCCCATTTGAGTAAATATCAAGAAGGTTATACTATTCAATAATTTTCTGAGTTTTATATTCAAATTTTTAGTCATTTTAACAATTATTTAACATAATTGAAGTACAGAAAACTAGTTTTTAGTGCGCCAAACAGCCACTCAACACACCAAACAGGCGTCACTTTGTATCTCTGGTCAGTGGAGGAAGCATCTTGCTTGAGACTCTCTTGAACATAAACTATTTTTACATTTTTACACTACAATTATTGGTCATTCCGAAATTTATTTTACATATTGACAATATATAGTGCAGTATATTGTTGATTTAAAGTAAATAATCTTGAATTACACCTAGTGAATTAAAATTTTATGGGTGAAATGACAGCAACAAGCATGGGGTGATTTCTCTTCCATTTCCTTCTCTTCTCCCTTCTCCTCCACCCCCACTTCTAATTCCCATCATCATCAACCAGGAGCCTTCTACATACACACCTCAAAGTAAGTGTACTTTACCGCATTAATTTTTACTTTGTATGTAATTTTTGGTGAGCTGGAACCAATTACCCAAAATCCCATTGAAACAATGGTTTTGGTTTACGAATGACCTTCTGGAACGAATTGTGTTTGTTAACCGAGGGACCACTGTATATATATACACACACTTGCACGCACATACACACATTGGACTTCAATGCACTGGAATTTGATTTGACTTCAGTGCACCGGAATTTGCTTCTTTTTTTTTTTTGAGACTGGGGTGCTTTGGATTACGCCTCTATTCACCAGAAATATTTAAAAAGTTCGGAAAATCCACCATCAGCTTACAGTAGACAGTTTGTGTGATTGTATGTCTGGTTGAACATCTGTGTATGTGTGTCACACTGCACATGTCGCAGTCTAAGTCCTGCCTTCTTATGTGTATAGTATCAGTGTGCTGCAGCTCGCTACCAACACTCATTTATGTGAACTTTTAAATAGAGTACAGTGATCCCTCGGTTAACGAACGCCTCGGTTAACGAAATTTCGGTTAACGAACTGCCTTCCATAAGAATCTTCAATTCGGTTAACGAATTTCTGACGAACCGACCTCAACATGTTTTCGCTTGCACTGACCGGACAACCAGCTTTGGTATCAGTCCGCCAATACATTAATCGGTTCTAGGGCTTAAATTCCTTACTATTTTAGTAAATATCAAGAAGTTTATACTATTCAATAATTTTAAAAGTTTAATATTAACTTTTTTAGTCATTTTAACAATTATTGAACATAATTGAAGGTAAAGAAACTAGTTTCTGGCGTGCCATCCAGCCTGTTAACACACCAGACAGGCGTTAGTCTCTCTCTATTTTCAGTGGAGGTAACATCTTGCTTGAGACTCTCTTCAACTAAATGCTTTTTTTCTGTGTTTCCAAGCAAATTATTGGTCATTTTGAAATATATTTTACATATTGACAATATATAATGCAGTGCAGTGTTGATTTAAAGAAAATAATCTTGAAATACACCAAGAGAACTAAAATTTTATGGGTGAAATGGTGCCATGGGGCGACTTCTCTTCCACCCCAATGCCTTCTCTTCTTCCTTCTCCTCCACCCCCATTCTAATTCCCATCATCATCATCATCATCATCCAGGAGCCTTCTACATACACACCTCAAAGTAAGTGAACTTTTCTACTATTTTTGTTGAATTTAGGCAATTTTCGGTGAGCTGGAACCAATTACC